TAACGGTAGTTTAATTTATTATTTCAAAATAAATTTTGCAATTAAACAAAATAGTAGCCACACATCTTTATTATTTATATTTCAATTATTTACTATACATCAAATGAAGTTATATAATATGTTTTAATAAGTATAATTTGCAAGGTATGGCAACCTTATTTCTTACGTTAACATTTTGTGAATATTTACAAAAATCCAGTTCGTCCAAAATTACGTTTTGTAAAAAAAATATGTTTGTAAGACAGGTTTATGAGAACAAAATTTTTGTTGCATTAATTATCACTTACACAGAAAAAAAAATTAATTTTTTTTTTAATAAAAAAATTAAAGCAATTCGAGCAAAAAAATTTATTAATTTGTAATTTTATATGTTAAACAAAATTAATTTGAAATTAATTAATCATGAATTTTCGTTTATTTTTTTAACATTTTGTTTTTTTTATTGTATTCATTTAAAAATGAATTTCTCGTGTGAATTAATTAATTAATTATTGTTTAATTTGGATTTATTTGTTTTATTCATTTTTTTTGTTTGTATGTTTGTTTTTCAGTTCTTTTTTAAGTTTTTGCGATATTTATAATTTTCATTTTGTATTATTTTTTTTTGTTCGATTAATACTTTGGTCAGTAAATATTTATGGTATACTGATTCATATGTATGTATATACATACATACATACATACCGCTCGAATTTCAGTTATGTTGTGATTAATCGAATAAGTCAATAAAATTTAAAAAAAATTTTGTATAAGTATTGGGACATTTTTTATTAATTTAATTTTTTTTTCATTAATTTTGTAATATTTTTGGTATCGTGTATAATCAAATATAATTTTATAAAATATTTTTTGACCCGATTTGTCATTCTTTAATTGAGTTTTTTTTTTTTTGTTGTGTTTTAAATTTATATAAATTGGGGTAGATTTTGTAGAAATGAAATGAAATTTTTCATTTTATTATTTATGGCATAACTATGATAAAATAAGGTAAAGTAATTTTTACGATTCGGCAAGCTTACGCTATTTTATTTACATACATACATATGTAAATCCCTTTTTGAGGTGCCGCCATTGTCATAGGAAAATTTCATTTTTAATTTGTATTAGTAATTAGCAGCTATGGAAATGCATTACCTGGAATATACCAAGGTGAATACGAGTCCCAGTTTAAAATTCGTTTGTCACTCGGTTAAAAATAATACTTTTCAAAATTTCTCTCAGACAGTCTTAATTCTTTTTATAGATTTGCGTGTCACTCCATTCTTTGACTATTCCTGGTATCACAGACTCTTATTTTTATTAAAAAAATTCAATGTTTTTTTCTTGTGCTCGGTATTCTGTATGTTTTGATAATCTTTGCTCGATGCAATATGGAATACAACATTTATAGACCATATTTCTTTACTTTTTTTTTTATTTATCGCTAATATTTCACTCTGACACAAGTTATATAAATTATCTATTCATTATTAACATAAATTTTTATATTTTTTTGATCTTAAAATATTACGTAAAAAAATTTCACTTTCAAATTTTTGACTTGTAAAAAATTGTTCGATAGTGGCATACGTACGTATATGGTCTCGTTCTAGATTTTCATTAATTGAACGCAACACAGAATAAATAGGATGAAAAGTAAAGTAATAAAGTTGTAAGGAATAATCGTAATTAAAAAAAAAATTCGTGCACACTTAGGCGACTTGGAGGGATATAATGAACACAACTAACGTTAGCAATCAAATTTGTTATTGTGCTATGTTTAAAAGCTTTTTATCTATTATTAAGCTATTTAGATGTAATTATTTACATTTTGCACCGATAGATGGCTTGAATTCCTTTTTAAGACTTAAATAAATCTCACATTACCAATTTCTGAAGTTTACAAATGTACAGTCTATTTTCTATTTGTACTTAAATAAATTGTAAATATAACGGGATAAAAGAGACAAGTTATTTGCACCCAAATAATTTTTGGAGGTATTTTCGTTTACAAATCTACTTATGTACATCCTATACATATATAATTTTTAAAAACAACAAACCCTGAGAGATAAAAGAACAAGAACAAAATATTTTTCCCAAATTTGAAACTCAAGAGTCTACAGATGTCTTTTGTTTTCTATAATCTATAAATTATTTGTAATAACAAAATATCTAAATATAACTTTAATCACCTAGAAACAATTTCAAATAAAAGAGATTAATTACAAAAAAAAAACAATTAAAAATCATTTAATATCTCTTATACTGCACAAACATAAATTACTCACCAAAATTATACGTGTACACGTTCAAATAATGAAAGAAAAAAAATATCAAATATTTACACCTGAATAAATTTCTTCTTTGTGCACAAAAGCATTAAAGTCAGGCAAACAAACAGAAAAAAAAAACCACGGGTTCACAAAATAATAATTATTGTGCAAAAAATAAAACAAATAATAATCAGAAAAAAATAATAATAAAAAAATATCAAAAAACAATAACGAAATAAACCGATAACTATTGAACACAACCCTTTTTAAAGGCGGAGCCTAATTGAATATGAAATTCCTGTAATTGAAAATATAGACGAATGTATTGAATTGCAATTATAGATAAAATTATAACAACAACAAAAGCAAAAAAAATAAACAAAGCAAGCAGAAAATAAAATAAAACGGAAAAGAGTACAACAAATATATTTTTTTGTTTTTTTTTTTGTTTCTTGTTTCCTCTTTCTCCTTTATCTCTCATTCTAACACTTGTCTTTTTTATACAGTACAGTTTATTGTTAATTTGTTTGTTTGTTCCCAGCTACAGAGTACATTAAAATTTATTTATTTATTTTTTTTCTCTTTCCTTTTATCTTTCTCTTACTTACGATATTCGCTCGTTCTCGTATAAAAAATATTTCGCATATTACTCATTCAAGCAATTTTTAGTTACTCTGTTGTATTTTGTGTACTGTGTGTGTGTGCGTTTGTATTTTGCTCTAAAATATTGAATGAGGCGTTCAAACTATTTTTCATCTGGCTGACTGATTTGTACCGTTTTAAGTTTTTTGCTCGTGTTGTTGTTGTTTTTTTTTTTTTAGATTATTGGCTTTTTGTGCAATTTTCTGTTCGTGTTTTTTCCGCTTCATTATTATGGTTTGTTGTTTGTGTTGTTTGGTGTGTGTTTTCAATAAAGCCAATAATTCATCAGAAATTCAGATTAGTGATTTTTTTTTTGCTGGTTTTTCTTTAGGTTGTTTGTAGCTATGAAAAAATTTGTATGTAAGTATATGTAGAATATTATATAGATTCAGGGAAATTATTATATGAATGATCATTGATTTGGATTGGATATAAATTGAAGTTTTCCTTTGTTCTCTTTTCAATTGTTGTTTATTTGCGAACACAATATTGATGATTATTGATTTGTTGATGTATAAATGTTTGGGCATGTATTATAGATCATTCAGATAAAATTATTGAGTAAGCTAGTGTATTTAGAATATAGGATTAGTAGTAAGTGTACATAGTAAGTGTAGTTCAATGTGTAATAGGTGAATACTATGTGTATGTGTACATTATGTGCGTCCGTTTGTTTGAAATCAGTACAAAACAATAAAAAAAATTTTATTATGCTTTGTATGTTATTATTTTTTTTTTTTTCGAATATAAAAAATTATTTACGTGATTAGTAATACGGGAAACAATATAATATTCTATATATTGAATTTACTATTTATAAAATATAATTATAAATTTTGTATGAACGTGTACCAAATTATATACAATACATAGCCACGCAGGTACGATATAATATTTGTACTATGTGCATATACAGTGTAGTGTGTGTATATTGTTAAAGTATATATGTATGTACTTAATAAATTTTTATTTTGTTTAAAATTATTATTTTGAATTTAATGGTTAATTAAACACTGTATGTATAGAACAAATTTTGATTTTGTTTTATAATTTTTATTATAAAATTTAAATTTGAAAAATTAAAAACATTTGAATTATAGAATAAGTAATTAATTAATTATAGATTATGAGATTCATGTGGGTATAAGATGAAAAGAAATGCAAAGTGTGTGTATATGCCCATATGTATGAATGTGTGTAATCAAAATAAAACTTACAAATTAATTTGTTTATTATTAATTAACTATTTTTGAAATGACAATTTCTACAATATTAAGAGAATATTATTGGCATCAATATTGGAATGAATCTATAATTAAATCACGTTATAGGTAATATGTACATATACACTCCAAAGAAAAGTTATTGACTAAATCTATGTTTTATACAATATTGAATCTGTATTGAATATAATTCTTTGGTTGTAGATTTGTATTGAAGACCGAATATACCCGATACAATTTTGCATTTAAGCTATGTAAAATATAATTAAGACATTATTATATTAAAAACTTCCTACTTATACAAAGTAATATTAAATTCGAAAAGGGGCTTATACTTATAATTAATTGTTATCAAAATAATTATAATTAGTCAGTCAAATGCTTATCTCCAATTTACTAATTCTATATGTATGGTCAGAGTAAATTTATAATATTCTTAATAGCATATGTAGATCTAGTACATATTAAAATTCTAAGAATAAAAATATCATAATTACAAATGTGTAATTAATGATAAAATATTTTATTTGAACAAAATTTAATCTTATTTTTGTTTTAGCTAATAATAACTATATACGATATTAGATTTTATTGAGAATTATAACAGGTGATAAATATATTTTCTTGTTTTTGAATTACGTAGACAGTTCAAAATATTCTCGTACAAGTAAAGAACATAGAAACTAAAAAAAATATTGTTCATTTAAATTTGAATAATTAAATGAAAATCAATTTGGAAATATTTGTTATTTAATTAATTTTAGTAAATCTTAATACTTTTGTGAAATTTTTGTATATAAATTTGATTTTTATTGTATTTTACATAACTTTAATAATTTTACATATATTTTAATAAAATTATTATTAATTTATTTTACAGAAAGCAATCCTAGCTGAAAAAGAAATTTCAACATTAAAAGAACAATTAACAACAACACCAAATACAGAATCTTCAACAATATCAGATGATACAAATGAATTAAATAAAACATCATTATTATCATCGGATTTAAATAATACGCTTAAATCATTATCATCATTGACATCAACATCACCACCAAATTCATTACAAATTAATAATTCTCATACAAATCAAACAATGTTAACATTACCACCAAATTCAGCATCAATTTTAAGTACATTACCATTATTAAATGGTTGTACAACAAATCCATTAAATGGTGCAATAAATTCAACAACAACAACAACAATACCAACATTATTAAATTATAATTTAAATGGAAATTATATTGCAACAGCACCATCACCATCACCACCATTATCAGAAAATGAGAGCATTACAAGTATTAATAATAATCATAATAATGATAAGAATAATAGTGATAATATTTCAATTGATAAAACAATTGAAAATGATAATAAAATAATAGAAAATAAATTAAATAATCATAATGGAATAGAAATAATTAAAGAAAAAGGACAACAATATCAATTAGAATTGGATAAAAAAATTAATGAAAAAGAGGCGGTGAAAAAAATTTCAACACCTTCTTCATCACCGTCTCAAATTCCACCTCTTTTTTCTTCAGAAACTCCTATTTCTTCAAAAATATTAAATAAAAATGATAATGATAATAATGATAATGATGATGATGATGATCTTATTATGATAAAAGATGATGAAATAGAAAAAGATAGTAATCATATTTCAAAGATATGCAATAATAGACTTATTAGTGATAATCAAATAGAAAATAAAAATTGTAAAAATTTAAATTTAGATGAAAATTTAAATAATACTAAAAAATCTGTTAATGTTGAAATAGTTGAAATGAATGATATTAAACAGAAACCTAATGATGATCATAATATTAAAGAGATTATAAATGAAGAATCACTTAATAATTCATTAACACCATTACAAAATGATAAAATATGTAATGAAAAAAATAATAATTGCGAAAAAAAATTAAGTGCAACTAAGGCAATTGAAGAGGAAGAACATAATAACAATAAGAAGAAGAAAGATGAAGATGAAATATGTAAAAAATCTATAGAAAATAAAAATGAAGAAAATATCATTTGTGATCTTAGAAATAATAAACTAAAAGAAGAATTAGCTTTTAAAGACAAAGAGGTAAGTTTTGAATAAAATACTTGTAATAATATAAAAATGTTATAAAAATTATATTGCAATTACTTATAATATAAATTATTGAATAAATATTTTATTTCATTTGCTTCATAAAATAATCTAAAATTTAGATATAAAATTGATAATTTCCATTGCTAGTACAAGATGTAGTTGTTTATAATTTATTAATTATTGATTCTTATAAGAATAAAAATTTCTTCATACAACTCCAAAACAATTGGATCACGTTATAATAGAACGATTTAAGGCAGAAAAATTTTTTTTCCTCGAACTTCATATGTTCTTGTGATTGTGTGTTTCAAATAGAAGATTGCATATGTGACATCTCATGTAATCTTGGAGATTATAGTATACTTAAATGAATGTGAAGAACAATTTGCCGGCAATTTCTTCATATCTCTGTTATAGCTCAGTTGGTAGAACGTCCGCCTAAAAAGCAATAGTTCACACGTTCAAGTCCAAATTTTTTAATAAATTTTTCTGCCTTAACATTTACTTTTAATTCGGGGTCATTCATTTGTTTTGCATTTGAATGAAGAAATTTCTATTAGTTATTCTTTTAAAATTTCTATTAAATTCCTAATTCTAGCCAAGATTTATTCATTTCGTTAGTAATGTTGATAGAAGTTGGTATCAACAGTTAATAATGTTGAATGAAGTGAAAAATTGTTAAGTGATTAAATATTATTGAATTTGTAAAATCATCACATTAAACATTTGAGTCCGTATGTGGAAACTAAATCATATTTCTTAGTTTTAAAAAAGCATGTGTTCCTATACATAATTGGACAGGAGTTATTAAAAATTAAATTGAACAAAATCAAAATTTTCCAAAAAGTGAAATTTGAATGACAATTCCTGAATTCCCGGTATATACTATGGTATATGTTCGAATTTTTTTGAAAACTATAATCAGGATTTTTTTAGAGGTTTCCTATAATGTTATACGCGCTTCAGGTATATTCTGTTCTAAGTTCATTTTTTTACAAATCAATTTTAAAACACATGAAATTCCATGATATTAAAAATTAAAAAATCTATGATTTATAGAATAATTTCCTAATTTCATAAAATAAAATAATATACGTTCAATATAGCAACTAAATAATAAGTACCAAGATAACCTGATTTTTATTTAAATTTCAATATTAAATTTTTTCAGTTCCTATCTTTTTACGGGGCAGTGAAATTCCGAACAGAACAAAAAAAAAATTCATTTATTATTTATTAAAATTAAAATCGTGTTTACTTATTTTTTTTTTAAATTTTCTATTTAAAAATAGAAAAAAATATTTATTATCTATCAATTTTATGTGTTATATAAGTTTGTAAAGTCAATTTTAAGTAATACCCAATAAATCTATTTCTAAATTTATATTTTCACATTTTTTTTTTGAAATGTTTTGTGTTTCATGTGATATTTTTTTATATGAAATCAGAAACAAAAATATTGGTTTGAATTTTTTTTTTTCGGTATTTGTTTTTTTATTATTGAAGAGATAATCGAATTTAATAATCAAAAATTTAAAATAAATTTTTAATATTCAAATTTAACGCATACATTTTTAAGTATAATAAAAAAAAAAAAAATTTTTTTTTTGTTCGGAAATTTATAATTTGAATAATATTGATAGATTTTATTATTATATATGAAATATGAGACAACAGTGGGATTATTCTAAAAAAAAAATGAACAATATATAAAATAAAAGCAGACGTCCTCAACATTTTTCATAACGCATACGCATATGAAATTGAAAAAGGTTCATGGTTACCAAATACACCCTAAATTTAAATATTAAATTTCAAGAAAATTGGTTGATTATTTCCCTTTACATGGGCAAAAATATAAAATCAACCTGCAAACAGATTTTGTTCTCGAGGCTTGACATGTCCCAAAATTTGATCAATCTGTGACATAGCCGAAATAAAGTCACATATAAAATTTTATTAAGAAAAATTATTGAGATACCCGTATACATCGAAACAAATACACCGACAGACCGAAATCTTCCTAAAAATAATTTCTTTAAGGATCCCTGCAATGGAGGAAAGCTTTCTCAACGAAAACTCGACGACATATCGAAAACAGTTAAGGCAATCGATTTGAATTTTAACGCAATATAGTTTAATTGCTTAGAGTAGATAAACGCCGAACGATTTTATAATCAAGCAGTAATTACAAAACTATAAAAATTGCATGTCTGCCTGAGCCTAAAAATACTGTCTGTTTAATTACATAATAAATAAGTATATAAATATTAGCTTGTATTACAGTTTATAAAACACTGAACTTCATTATTTTTCATACACGTATAATTTAGATTGGCATTAATCTATGTATTTTTTTTTTCCTATTGAACTTTTACTGTATTTTAATTGATAGTCAAATTTTAAATTTAGCATAGAAGCAGAATAGAGGAATACAAAAAGAAAAAATACAAATTGATTATGTTAATTAAATTCAAAATATTTCGAAAAAAAAATAAATAATATTTTTTTTTTAAAGTGTAATAAATAATAAATGTAGCAACATTAACATGAAAAAATATACAATGTATTTGTATTTCTAATAAAAAAAAATATATTTATAAATTAATAAATTAATTAAAATAAAAATCAAATTTAGAAAATAAAAAAAATTATAAAGTTCGAACTGATTGATAAATAAAGATTATATATTTTTTTTAAAGCACGTTTCATAATAATGATTTTTAAATATTGTGTACGATTTGACTTATATAGTTGTGCATGTGTTTAAGAATATTATGATAATAATTTGACCTTAAGTAAATTGAAATTTTCGATTTAATTTGAAAAAAAAACTTTTAGAATTTATTGTAATATTTTTAAATTATTAATTTTGATAATATGAATATTAATAATTTAAAATAAAATCATGTGATTATATTATAGGTATATAATGCATTAAAGGGCACATTAAAAGAATATATAGGTCAAACTTGTAGAACCAAACACATTGATTCATACTATCTTACTACATTCAAATACGAAGTTCTTTTTACGAAAATTGAATTACATTGTAGATTACTGAAGAGTGATATGGGCAATGGAACCCGTCTCCATAGACCACTGTAGCCAGCCATGGCATATAGTAGTCCTCCCACATCCCGCTTATATACCAGTTGCCAGCAAATTCCCCTCGGAGAGTTGGGTGTTAATCGTATTACATAGTAAGACCCCTAATTAAGCCGTTTGTTGTCACTTACACACAAAAATTCTTTTAAAATATTAATAAGGTGTTTTGTAAAATGTTCTGTAAAATAATTGAACCATTTGCTCTTATAGCGATTCTTGCGGTATTCTTCTTATATCTTTTATTTGTAACAGATCCCTGTACGCATCATATTATTGCTTTCTTCTGCACATATACATTTAATTATGTATTTGCACGAATTACATTTATATATATTTACGTTGATAACGGTTATTAAAACTGGATCATCATTTTTATTATAATTTGTGTAATTTAAATTATACAAAATATCATTATAAATTTGTTCAGTAATTAATTAATAATTTTCTACTTAATAAAATAAAAGTGATTATGACAAAAGGAATGAAATAAATTTTTATCAATTTTATAACAAAGAGAAATTGCACAATTAATTTTATTCATAAAAATTAACCATTATAAAAATTAGTAATCATTATTTGTTTGTTTTTGAATAATTTCATTTAAAAAATATTTTATTATTGCAGATAAAAATATTATCAGATGAAATTCTACGTTTAAAAATTCTTTATGAACAACAAATTTTACATAATCAACGTCTTCAAGATGAATTAGAAGAAAAATTAAATGTTATTTTAAGATTAGAATTACGATTAAAAGATAATACATTAGAAATTAATAAAAATAATAATAGTAATGAGAAAAATCAATCAATACAACAAATATCGTTACCAGAAGATGATGATGATGATGATGATGATGAAATCATTATTAAAGAAGAAAAATTAAATAGAACTTCTACAACAGAAAATGATGATAATTTGAAAACATCTAATTCAAAATTAGATAATAATTTGATAGAAAGACAACAACCTTATGATACTGAATTTAATAATAGCTCCGTCCGGAATCAACGTGAAAAATATGATACTACATATAATTCAGAAGGTAAGTTTAAAAGTATTTTCATTTTCAAATTTAAATACATCATTAAATTTCATTACATTAATCTTGCAACTTTTTTAAAAATTTGTATTAAAAATTATACAAAAAAAATTAACACTATTTTACTTAACTATTATATAATTAAAGCATCACATTATGATTCACAATCAAATCCTAGTACACCAAATCATTTCTATTATAATGATGGAAGACGTTCAACTGATCCAATCATTTTATCGCCATTTTCAGGTAAAATGGATATAACTGAAAATGCAGCAAATAGTTTGCAACAAATGGCTGCTGCCGGTTCATTTAGTGGAGGACATATTTCAAATCCATTTCAAGCTAGTTTACAATTTGCATTTTCAACACAAAGTCAAGATCGTCCCTCATTTTCAAGATTTTCTGATGATTTACCATCATCTAATAATAATATAAATTCATCATCTGGTCGATATAATACTGATTTATTAATACCAAAAAGTGATCCAATGGAAGCAAAATTACAAGAAATGCTTCGTTATGGTTTAGATAAATTTGCTAATCATAATTTGGATACACTGTATATTTCAAGAAGAGTAAGAGAATTACTTTCTGTCCATAATATTGGTCAGAGAATATTTGCAAAATATATTCTTGGTTTATCACAAGGCACAGTATCAGAATTATTATCGAAACCAAAACCGTGGGATAAATTAACAGAAAAAGGTCGAGATAGCTATCGAAAAATGCATGCATGGGCATGTGATGATGCCGCAATTTTACTCTTAAAATCATTGATTCCAAAAAAAGGTAAATTTAAAGTTCATTGTTTTATTGTGGTAACAAATATTGCAGTTAAAAAACGGAAAAGCATTCATTTAATGCCATTATTATTTTTCTTTCGTCTTTTTTTTAATATTTAGATTCAAATATGTCTCAGTTCGGTTATTCAGATGAACGTTCGTCCGATGATCGGATTCCAACGCAAGTTTTGACAGATTCTTTGTCTCCATTGTTATCAAAATCAAATATACATGTTTCAACTTCCTTGGGCGGTCAATCATTTTCTAGTAATCAAAAATTAAATACAGCCAAAGATGAAGATTCTCGCTCTAATGATGATTTAAGATCACCAAGTAATACAAAAAGATGTACTACTCCTTCATCAATCAAGGAATCAAAAACTTCAAGCAATCCTGCTATTCAAGAACAATCTTCTAGAGTAGATTATCAAGAAGATCTTGCCAAAATTATGTCTAGAAACCAAAGAGAAATGGCTCCGGCATTTCCAAGCTTTCTGTTTCCTCAATTATATGCTGGTACTCCAAATGGAAGCCTTCCGCCTGATATGGCTAATTTTGAAATAGCTTTAGAAACATATCATCGAGAATTAGCAAAATTACAAAGTAGAAATGGAACAAGCTTTCCAAATTTTACAGAATTACTTGCACTTCAACAACATCAAGCTGCTCTAGCTCTAAGCAGTTCAGTTCAAGATTTGTCGATTAATAAAGAACAAGCAGAGATTCCGAATGCAGATGATGAAACAAACCCTAGAAAAGATTTTGATGAATCCAAGGAATATGATAAAAAAACAGATTTAAATAGTTCAGATAACACTACAAAAATTAAAGAAGAAGATATGGTTAATACTCTCTCTTCCGGAAATGTACTGGCTTCCAGGGATTCAAGTCCAATAACGAATAACATATTAACACCATCTTCTGAAGAGTTTACAACATCCGTTAATCCTTTACAAAAAATGGCTTCTATTACTAACTCACTCATAACACAACCTCCTCTGCCGCCACTTCATACACAACCACCAAGACCTTTGAAAGCTGTACTTCCACCAATAACGCAGCAACAATTTGATCTCTACAATAATTTAAATACGGAAGATATTGTCCGCAATGTCAAAGAAGCTCTGTCACAGTATTCTATTAGTCAAAGATTGTTTGGAGAAAACGTTCTTGGTTTATCTCAAGGTTCAGTATCAGATTTATTAGCTCGACCAAAACCATGGCATATGCTCACACAGAAAGGCCGAGAACCTTTTATTCGCATGAAAATGTTTTTAGAAGACGACAGTGCCGTTCATAAATTAGTTGCTAGTCAGTATAAAATAGCACCGGAAAAATTGATGCGCACTGGAAATTATACAGGAACACCACAGATACCTACAAGTCTTGCTAGCAAAATAGAAGATATTCAAAATACTTCCATGCAAAAAATTATCAGTGATTTAAAATTTAAACAAGAATCTCAACAACAACATTTAATGCAACAAATGCGAGCAGTGAACGCGTTAGCAAATTTACCTCAACATCAAGCAGTGACTGCAGCTGGGATGTTATTAAATCAACCCAATTTAATGCCACATTATGCTACATCCCCAATAATACCACCAGTTGCTCCGAATTCAAATAACAATGCGGATGTTAATTCTGCACCTAATAAATCTCCGTTGCCAATTGTTCCAATCCCTTCTCCGCAGCCTGCAAATGTAATGAGGAGTGGTCAAAATCAGCATATGTCTCCTACCGTTTATGAGATGGCTGCATTAACACAGGATTTAGATACCCAAATAATCACAACAAAGGTTAAAGAAGTTTTGTTAGCGAATAATATTGGACAAAAAATATTTGGAGAAGCTGTTCTTGGATTATCACAAGGTTCTGTTTCTGAGTTGTTATCGAAACCAAAGCCTTGGCATATGCTTAGTATTAAAGGTCGTGAACCGTTTATTAGAATGCAATTATGGTTATCAGATATGAATAATATAGAAAGATTACAAACATTAAAAAATGAGCAAAGAGAGGCAAGTAAAAGACGAAGATCGATAGGACCCGCTGGTAGTCATGATAATTCTGATACAAGCAGTAATGATACTAATGATTTTTATACAACAAGCCCTGGCCCTGGATCTGTGGGGTCCAATGGCGTTCCGCCAAATAAAAAGCAACGTGTATTGTTTTCGGAGGAGCAAAAAGAAGCTTTGCGGCTGGCTTTCACTCTAGATCCCTATCCTAATGTAACTACAATAGAATTTTTAGCAAGTGAATTGGGCTTAGCAACTAGAACAATCACAAACTGGTTTCATAATCATAGAATGCGTTTGAAACAACAAATGCCACATGGTCAACCTGCGGAACCAATTCCTACTCGTGAAAATCAAACAGGTCCACCTTTAGATCCAGTACAATTTAAAATACTATTAAATCAACGACTTATGGAAATGCAAAAAGATAGAATGGGTTTAGCTGGAGTTCCTTTAATGTACCCACCATATTTTGGTGGTAATTCTAATTTAGCTGCTTTGATTGCCGGCCGTAGTCTATTTCCAACCAATGGAGCTAATTTACAAGTTTTAAATTCAGCTTTAAAAGGTCAATTTAATGGTATCGATTTATCTTTAAATAACAGTAACGAGAATAATAGCATACAACAAGAAAGTGATCAAGATTTTAAAGATGAAGATCATAGAAAAAATGATGAAATTGATATAGAAGATTCCACATCATTAAGCAAATTAGAAAATAATGAAAATGATTTAGTGAATAAAAATGATGAAGAACATTCTTTAAGCGGATTAATTAATTCAAATATAAGACCATCACGTAGAAAAGCTGCAGCACCACAATGGGTTAATCCAGATTGGCAACCGAAATCTCTATTTAAGTCAACTAATATTTCAGAATTGAGTGATCGTATACAAAATGAGGCAACAGATTTTAGTAAAAGATCTGAAAATAATGATTTTGATAAACATTTATCAAATATTAATGATGAATTAAATCCAAATAACTCAACAATACCAATAGTACCCGATATAAATATTAAAACAGAAAAATTAGATCCAAAAGAAAATGATTTCGATGATGATGAAGATAATAATAATAATGAAAGAATTGGATCTATTTCAAATGTTCCAACAGAAAATTTATTAAAGAATTAAAATATTTTCAAAAATATTAGAAAAAAAAATTAACTTAAAAACACAATATTATGGTGTGCAATCATTTTTATTTTAAACTTTATATATGTAAGCATTAATTATACTATAAAAATGAATAATAATGAAAATACAATAAGAGTTAGTAGATTTCTTTTTCGTTTTTTTTTTTAAATTAAAATCTAAGAAAAAATATAATTTAATTTAAGTAGAATATAATGTTTACATGAAATTTAGAATATAAATAAGTATTTTAAATTAGAAATAAGAACAAACCCAACATATGAGTGTGCATTTAATATTTTATTGTAATTACATTATAAAATTACATTAATTTATAGAATTTCAATTTGAATTTTCTTTAAGAATAATACATAAATGTAAATATATAATTTAATAATTAATTTAAGCATAATATGAAGTACTATTATATGAAAAAATATTTAAAAATTAAATAAATGTATATATTATATTAATAATAAAAATAAAATAAATGAATAAATAATAAATTATTAAAAAAATGTCTTCTGAGTATAACATTAAATTTATAACAATCGCTAAATTAGTTTGTATTTTCAAAAAAAAAAAATAAATTAATGCAAGATTATAATATGGATTAAAAAATTTTGTGTACAATGTAAAATTATGTTATTCAATTTATTTTTTAAGCAGAAATGTGTAAACTTTTGATGTTCTTAAAAATGGAATTTTGAAAAACAATAATTAAAATTAAATTGATTGCTATATTCTACATTATTTGTAATAATAATTTCTTTGTTGTTCAAAGATCAATTACCCCAAATAATTGGGATTAATAAAATTAATAAAGCGAAAACTTAAAACTAAATCAAATTTTTCAAATGTGACACAAGAAATGTTATGGAATTTTTAATATCGTAACTCTTCAACTCTTACTTCTTAACCAAATTTAAAAATCATCCATTTTTTTAGAACAAATGCATTATAAATTTCTAAATTGTGTTTAAAGAAAATGATAATATTTCATTAATTTCTTTTGGTTTTAAAAACATTTTTTTTCTTCGATTTGCACGAATTTAAAAAAACAAATCAGATGTTAAATGCGTGCGCCTAAGATCTCGAAAAAATATATAGGTCGAATAATTTTATTTAAATGTTCAAGAATGTCCAATTTTTTTGGGTATTTTTTATTTGTTGTTTTTTTTTTTTTATATATATAAATGTGAAAAATAAAGTAAAATTTTAAATTAGAATTAAAAATACAGTTTTGTTATATTGGAAAAAATTTTTTTTTATTATTATTTTTTATTATATAAAAGAAAATACAAAATTTTTAAATCATTTTTAAGAAATTGAAAAAATAAAATGAGAAAAAAAAATAGATATAATATTAATAAATAATATTAGAATTATTGTACTTACGAAATAAATTATTTAAAATTAAATTTTAATAATTACATTTAATAAAGAAAATAAATTTTATTTCATACCATTATAAATATATAATTTAAGTGATAAATTGAAAAAAAAAAGAAAACAAAAAAATAAAAAAAAAATATGGAATAAAATAAAAATTTGAAACATAAATTTGGTGATTAATTTTTTGAGTTCTAACGAAATTCAATGTGTCCTTTTAATGTTCTACGGTAAAGAGTTCCATTAATGACTCCCTTAATAAAATGACAAAATATCTCCGATTTTCAATTGGAAACTATAAATTTTTAAAATGTTTTGAAAGTACGAGCAAAAAATTCAATTGTGTAGGTCTTGTATTTCAAGATCTTTGTTATACAATCGCACTTCCATTTTGTTAGAATTTAGTATTTTAAAACTATTTTTCTAATTTTCATGAAGCTATTATATAAAAAAATTTTTATAATGGACAATAAGATACAATAATCTTAATAATTACAGTCTTCTACTAAAAACACAGAGTTTGATTGAAAAACTTTTTTATCAAATGAAAATCGATTCTAAACACTTGTTTGTTTATTTGTGTTAATAATATAGATTTTATTTCAGCCATTTTTGTATAATAATTAAAAAAAAAATCCATATTTTATAAAATATGTAGAGTGCATTTAAACACATGAAATCTCATTTAATTTCATTTTATATATGATTAGCTTTACGATATAGTCTATTTTGGACGAAGTACTAAAAAGAAACGAACCAAAAACTGTAAAAGTAACTTTGAAAAAATAAATTTATAAACTTTCTGAATTTCGTTCATCCGACGGCAATTTTTCGTTTTAATAATTATTTTTTAAAAATTACGATATATGTACGATATACGAAATTTAAGGCACAATTTTTATTTAAATGAAGTGATGAGAAAATAATTTAATTATAAAATAATTTAACTAAACACCTATAAATATTTTAACATTTATAAATGGTGTTAATACAAATTTATTGTGTTACCTTTACAAAATGAGATGAAAAAAATAAAAACAAAATTTGTTCCCTTATTTTCGTCTTCTTTTTTTTCCTTAATTTAATTATTACTGAGTACATTACTCTGTTTTTCAATTGTTCTTTTAAGAGTCACTTACTCTCTTTTTTTTTCTTTTTTTCTTCTCTTTGTTTTTTTTTTGTATTTTTCTTTTTGTGAAAATTAGTAAATTAGTTTCGAAAATAGTTTTCTTTTTTCTTTGTTTTTCCTTTAAATACCCATTGGGTAAAATGTACAACATGAATTGGCTACAAAGGCTAATCAAATTCTGTTCAGTGTACTTTTTTGAAGACAACAAAAAAAAAAACAAAAAGTTGAAAAATAAAAAATAATTCAAAAATTTTATTTTTTAGTTACTAAAAAGAAGCAATAACAAAAAAAAAAAGAAGTAAGTAAAATATTTTTGAATAACGAAATTTGGTTGTTTCTTTTTTTTTGATTTTTAACTTGAATATTCACAATAGATTATTACATGACCCGTGATTCCTGATTGTATGAAAACATTTTAGTATATACGTTCCGAATTTAAGAATTTTAAAAATTAAGGGTTTATAAAGGGCACATTTATTTTGTGAAATTAAGCAAAAATTTAATTCAATTAAATATTATAGTCTTACAACAGTCTTATTAAATACAATTCTAGAAATAATCAGCTTAGTTAATTATAGTTATTAAAATTCTAATTTTATTTACCTAGCGCCATCGATTATCACATCAAAAATTGCTTTATGTATTTTATCAGAACAAATTTGGAAGGCCATAATAAGAGGAGGGCAGTTATAATGTAATATTTAGGGAAACAGCCGTACAATTTGTAGAATGCATAAAATACATCAGTTAAACCCATTTTAAATTAAACATAGAAAAATTCTCAAACTCACAAGTCACCAATATGCTAGTTTTCTTTGAAAATAACCAGTTTTCGACAAAATTTTTTGATTCTAAATTAAAAATTCTAAAATCTAATGTCTATAAGATCAATTTTGAAAATTCTATTGGAAATTCGATTTTCTAAAAAAAAAAACAATGGTAAACGCGAATAGGCCGTGTTCTGAATGAATACATTTAATATTTCACTAGAAATATGCTAAAAACAATGACAACAAAAAAAAATTTACAATATATGATTCGTATATGTATAAAAAAATAAAAAATATAATTAAAATACAAATTACAACGAAAAGGATATGAAAAGATTTAAAATAAACTACAAATACAATATAGAAAAGAACAACAAATTTAAAAAAAAAAATTTAGAAAATTTCTAAAACATTTACAAAGCCCTCATCTGTTATGTTTTCGTGTTCTAGAAAACAAAAATTTCTGAACAGTGTCATATGTGTGTGTATGTATGTTTTAATTATCAATATATATATATATATTATGAAGATAAAAAGGATGTTGCAAATATATACATACATACATATGTATAAGCTCTTTAGAACTCAGTTATTCGTAATAATTACTATTAAAAAAAAAAAAATAAAAAAATCAAAAATATTTTTGTCTTTTTCTAGGTAAACAAAGATTTGACATAAGCTGAACATTAAATAAAATCCAAAAATTTTTTTTTTGCTATTTATTCTTCCCTTTTTTTTTGTGTTGCCTTTAACTGTTATAACCATTCATTGCTTAGATGATGAACGTTTATTTCATCACGCGGGCAAGTTCAAAGATATACCCTTTTTTTTTGTGCTTACTTGCTTCTGATTTAACTGTAATTATTATTCAACTATAATAAATGCATAATATTTACACACACTCAAACATAATTTGTAAAATAATTATTATAAATAAGATTATATGTATGTATGTATATAATAAAACTATATATGGGATAAAAACATGAAAAAGATGAAAGAAAAAAGAAAATTTATCTAAAAATTTTTAGTATTTTCGAATATTCTCTAAGGCAATGTCCTTTTTGTTTTTCTTTGTGTATGTTTTTATTTTTATTTTTATTATAAATGAACAAAACTATACTACTTCTGACATCATACATTAATTTAGGTATTTGCACATACAATATACATATTTATATATTAATGTATGCATGTATGTATATGCAAAAATTGACAAAAATATAAAAAAAATTAATAAAATGCCATTAAAAATAATTTTCGGAATTTATTTTATAAATTAATTTTCAAAAAAAAAAGCATTTAGTAGCATTTTGAAAAAAAAAAAAAAAAACAAAAAAATGGCGCTATGCGGGGTTAAAACGAATTATATTTAGTTTTTTTTTTTTTCAAATAAATTGAATGATTTTTGTAGTGTTATTTTTGTATTCTAATTCTATCATTGCACAGTTTATTTCTTTGGGGGTGTTTACGTAGCATGAGCATTTGAAAAAAATGCATTCAAATTTCCTGCAACTCGAATCATTTCTAAATATTGGTATAATAGTTCTGTAATAGAAACAAGTGAAGTGGGAAATATTATTTTAAGAAAACTTATGAAATGAGGGTTAACTCTGCCTTTCATATAATTCCCTACAGGCGAAATAAATGATTTTGCTTCCTATATATGGAAATGGCTTCAACATAAATGAGATATAACATTCGAACTCTTGTTCTGGAAACGTAAATTTTTTATGAACATATTTACTAAACTGACTAAAATTAGTTTTTGTATTAGAAATATTTCAAGAACTAAGCATATTTTTGATTCTTTGACCTTGCACTTAACCTATTTGTGCCAC